CTCACAGCTCTCCTGAAACAGAGAGCCAAGAAGATAAAACAGGTCACGATCAGAGAGTAGACGACACTCCTGCATCAGACAGTCAGAGTAAAACTGAAACAAAGACAAATGTTCTAACATGTGACAATTGTGGAAAAATGTTCAACTCTGAGTCCGATCTGACTACACATCGGAGAGTTCACACACGTAAAAAATCATGTTGTTGTTGTTGGACCTGTAGGACAAACTTCTGTCAGTTCTTGAAACTTCACACAGGTAAGAAATCACATCCTTGTAGCACCTGTGGGAAGGAATTAGTTTCAAAGTCAGCACTAGAAGCTCACATAAGAACTCACACAGGTGAGAAGCCGTTTTCTTGCAGCACCTGTGGGAAAAGTTTCTGTCGGAAATCAGCACTGAAAACACATACAAGAACTCACACAGGTGAGAAGCCGTATTCTTGTAGTACCTGTAATAAAACATTCGGTCAGAACTGGACACTGCAAGCTCACGTAAGAACTCACACAGGTGAGAAGCCGTATTCTTGTAGTACCTGTGGAAAGAAATTCAATCGGAGCACACACTTAAAGAGACACATAAGAAAAATTCATAATGCTTGAAATATTCATGCTTCCAAAGTGTGAGACAGCTTTGAGTCGTAGCAGTGTGTGGGTGGTAGAGCTCACTAACCAGAAGTCAAATCGCTGCACTGATTTAAATAAATGTTTAAACTGATGTTTTGACTCTTACAATCTTTTCACATTTGTGACCTTAATCTGGTCAGTCCTTGAGTATGGGTGCATAGTTTTATGATAAGTGTGGTTTGGATGATCCTGTGGCTGGACTCCAGAGTTGGATCAGTTTGGCAGCGACTGTAGTTGTAATGGCTCTGCTAACGTATCCAGAATTGAAGACGTGTTCCAGTTTTTTGTTCGATACTGAAATAAATATGTGTGTTGAGGAAAAAGTCTGGGTGTTTTCTTTTGTTAAAAAAAAGAGAGAGAGAAAACAGTCTTAGAGGAACTATTTGTACACAGAATGTGCTCGTTTTTATTGAAAATGTAACCACTAGGTGGCAGTGTTTCATGAGACAGAGTTAGTGTAGCTGCCCCTGCGCTTATTTGAGCTAGTTGCTAGAAGTTGCTAAATGTCATTGACTTTCTGTGGTTTCTGGTTGTTAGTGATTAGCAAAATTACTTCATGAAACCAGCTCCACGGGGACACCTGCTGGCCAATTTTGTTATCGCTACATGTTGTAGATGCTGTTCTGTGAAACAATGATTCAGATAAGCCCAGCACAATTTTAAACAAAGTTCCTTACTACACCAGGCGATCAGTAATTACGATCAACAGAACACAGGGTTCCAACTGTTTTTGGATTCAGTTGGCTTTGGTTTTTGATCACAACCCACAAAGTTTGGTTGACATTTATAATTTCTAGTTCTACAACATCATCACAAGCATCAGTTCTACACACTCTCAGCCAAAGGTAAACGCTAGCATAGCATTAGGTTCTAGTTTAAATTAATTAAAAAACATATATTGAAATGGAAAAAAAGACAAAATATGCTCTCCTCCTATATAAAAAAAGTAACGTTTGTTATATTTTCATGGGCTTATTCTGACCAATCATAATAGTCCATTTCACATACATTTTAAAATAATTCTCTGTTGACAAGCGTCTGTCATCATCTATATGACAGAAATCACAGAATACGATTATTTATTTAATTACACTTCTAGTGATTCTAATGTTTAAGAAACTACATTTGTCTGCGCAATCTACAGCAAAGTAAGAGAGACAGTTTTCTTTTGCACATGCTCGTGTAATATGTCATTTTACAGAGTAATGCAAAAGTAATCAGTGTTGGGAAGGTTACTTTTAAAATGTATTTGACTACAGATTACTGAATACATGCCCCAAAATGTATTCCGTTACGTTACTCTGAGTAACGTAATGGAATACATTGGATTACTTAATGTATTATCATACTTTTTACAACTACATGAATGTACTCTTGCTGTGTGATTTTTTTTTTTTTTTACTATTACTGAAGGTTACTCGTTATACCAATACCAACTAGATTTTTAAATCCTAATATAAAATGAGTAACAGTAGGGTGGACATTAGGTAAGCCTGCACTTTTTGCAGTGATCTCGTATAGAAAACTATTCCGTGCGTATATAAACAGGTCCGCAGCTCCGAACCGTAGTAAAGGGACCTCTGGCTAATAGGTCGACTTCCGTGTCAGGCCGAAAACTATCTTTACTTGTTTGGGTCAACTTTGCCCAGCGAGACAGAGAGAGGCGTTGAAAGGCTGCTCCAAAAGAACTTATTGTTTCGAGAGAAAAAAACACGAGCGCAGTGTACAGTCGAGTCTTAATAGCTTACTTACAACTGGGCTTGTCAGGCTCTCTTCTTGGCTGCAGTGGTTATTATGATATTTACATGCTTCCATCTCCCGTTTCTGCTCGGTAACAACTCCTTTTTCTCCCTCCCTCGCTCACAGACACATAACGGGTATGGCAGTCCATTCTCCCTCAGCATGGACTACACTACCCATGAGGCCACATTCTTTAGAGCATTGCCTGTAACACTCTGCCTATTGCCTTCAATTAAAAATCAAAATTAAATATTTTTTGAATAATAATTTGTAAAAATATTTCATCAGGTCATTATGAGGGCCACAAGTAGAGGTGACATGAGCCACGAGATTGAGACACAGGCATACAGCCTCTTAATACATGTTTTGTTTGGTTTCCACCACCATGGAATTACCAAAAATAGAGGGTAGAGACTAACATATGAAACAGGAAAAGACCCTGTGTAATCCATTTATTTCAACAAAGTAACTGTATTCTGAATACCACCCTTTTAAACGGTAACTGTAACGGAATACAGTTACTCATATTCTGTATTTTAAATACGTAACGCTGGTACATGTATTCCATTACTCCCCAACACTGAAAGTAATGTAATGAGAAGTGTAACAAATTACTTTCTCCTGGGAGTAGTTAAGTAATGTACTGCTTTACTTGTCAGAAAAATGTTCTGTGTAATATTTAAATTACATTATTTTTCTGAGTAATGACCCCAACACTGATCACAAGAATGAAGGGAAATGCGTCCAACATGCATAAACATTTGACCTGACAGCATGTAATTAATCGGCACAATGTATTTGATTTGATTTGCTGCTTGGTGATAGTGGTGACTCTCAAAGCAGAGCCAAGGAGATTTGATAAGAGAATCAAGAAGTGATGCTGAGAATGGAATCGGAATCTCAAAATTCTTATCAATCCCTAATCACATCCCTAAGAAGTCGTTCGGACCTCTGTGCCAGACAGCAGGAAGGTCGAAAGTTTTTCAATGTCTAATGTCTTTGTGTTTCCCTGATGAGCATCACTAATAAATAATACAGATTTTTGCACACAACTTTTATTCCTTGAATTATTTTTCTATTGGCAGCAAAGAATTTTATTGTTCTACTAGCACACAGGAGACATGCCCTGTACTTGCTGACCTCATATCAACTCTTAACTTGGACTATGTTGGAATTCTGCCTTTATATCTCAAACCTTTAAACAGCACCGAGTCTGCACCAGAGAGCATAAGAACTCAAACTGTCTGGAGCAGCTTAGCCTCATTTATTAGAGGCAATCAAGTCTTATTTTTAGATCCAGTTTAAAGTTTGCGCTTTTCCACTCTGAGCGCTCAAAGTGCTTTTTACAACTTGCCCCATTCACCCACTCAAGCAAGCTCTTTTTTCTATGCTGTTCCTATGTAAGTACTTTCTAACATTCACACACAACTTTCACAAACACACGCACTGATATTGTTTCATGCTTAAATTTCAGATGTACTGCCACACAATTTGCCTCACTGTTAGAAAAACTAAATGACAAACTGAGACTGAGCAGAGGCAGAAAGTTTGACCTTGTCTTGCCAGAGGTGTAAATGGGGAAGTCTGTTGTGCCTTTATACACTGCCTCCTAGTGACACAACCTGAGGAGTTGTTTAAACATAGCAAAACAAACAGGGGTGAATGTACATGCAACAGGTGTGTGCCATGATTAGTTGTTTCATCATAAATGGAATGGCGCAAACATGCAGACTGGTTGGGGATTGAACCACCATCCTTGTGATTAACAGATGACCTGCTCTACCTCTTGCAAAGCCAGCTGTGTCTCCCCTGATAGATTTTCTCATATAAAATTTGTAAGTATAGCTGTGTATTTGCAAATGATGGTCCTTGTTGCACATTAAGCGTGTTTCATGACTGCTTTCAATGCAGTGAAAGCAGAGGCAGTGGCAGCTTGTCAAGTGTGCTAATCTCCCTCAACATATGATGCATTTTTCCGCCGTTGTTGTCATTCTGACTATAAAATGCAATTTTAAAGATTCTATTAAATGAAGATACCATTATCTTTAATGTGAACAAAAAGATTTTATATGAAATAAAACTGAGCAAAATCTTTTCATCTTTCTTCATTCCAGGATGTCACTCACTTTATTTTGTGTTAGCAGGAACTTCATGTTCAGCTCAGTGTGATTGACTTCAAATGTGAGAAATCGTTACACAACTGAACCAGCAGTAAACATTAAAGTGAGCAGAGAGACTGAAAAACAAAGAAACTCTTCTTCATCATGGTTGTAGAAAACTGTCACACAGAGCTGAGCCGAGGAGGACACCTGGTGGACAAACATAGACATGACAAGAAGAATCACTAAAGCGCAGAGGAGCGACAAACAGCTGAAAATACTTAATGAAAAGGATTCTCACGCACCATAAAAAGACTCAACTTACAAAGTCTAACAGTCTTTTATTATCTGTCTGTATAATGTGACCAACATGTAAATATAAAGACCGCGGCCCTATGGGACTGTTGAGGATTGATCACGTGACACGAAAAGCGGGAACCGCTAGCTTAGACGACGTAAGCTTCATGTTTGATTTGCACTTAGCCGAGGACTTTAGTTTGGTGATCTTATATGAAAATATTTCAGTTGTGAAGCAGCAATGAGTTCAGTTCAGTATCTGAGAGAGTTCATCAAGGAGAGACTAACTGCTGTTGGTGAGGAAATCTTCTCAGAGGTTCAAAAAACCATCGTCCAGTATGAGGAGGAGATCAACCGTCAGCACAGACTGCTGGATATCAGCCGGAAACCCGACAGAAACTCACACATCATAGGTATGGACATGTTTTTAACTCTGTGCTGTTCAAGCTCAGATTCTTCAGTGTGACTGACTTTACTAGAAGAAGTTAAACTGGGTATTTATCAGTGCTGTGGGTCAGTGTCCAGTGATGGACTATGTTGGACTGGTGCAGGTGTTCCAGATCTACTGGCGTTTAGATCAACTGGCGTTGGTCGAACAGATGTGTGGCAGACTTGCGTTTCAGGAGCTGCTACCGACAAATCAGCAAAAAAACGCCAAATGTGTCATCTGTGACACTTGTGAGGTTGTCTCAAACACACTCCGTCAGTCTTGATGCTGTTGAACAACAAAATGTCTAAAAATGTGGCGAGTTTACCTGGTGATATCCTCATGCGCGACGCGATCGCGAAAACAGCAAACAATTAACACCACGCCGATGTTGTTCACAGGACAGCAAGAGTAAACGATCGGGAGACTCTTGTCGTCGTTATCGTTCCCCTCGCACGGTTTATTTCTCCGATTTCAGCGTTTTTGCTTCACAACTAAAGCGAACAGTTTACTTTGTGCACTAACATGGAGTCGAGTCAACCAGCGCCACCTCTGGCCAAGTGCCACAGCCCACAGCCAGATCAACTTGTGACACATCTGCACCACGTTTGAATTCGTTTCTTGCACATTTGTACCTTTCAATTGTGTCTGTTTGTGCGTCATGCAAATAAACCTTTGAAAAGAATGAAATGACACTAATATTTCACTAGTGTTGTGTTGCGGGAATTTCCGTCTTGTGTGTGACTGGATGCAGTAAGGAGTGTATGTGATGTGTGTGTGTGAGCATGCGCGTGAAGGAAACGCGGGGAGCGAAAGAGGGAAAAGAGAGAGAGAGTGTGTCATGGGTAGAGAGGGCGACCGGGAGCAGCGTTCTAACAGGCTACAGGCTATGCAGTGTGTTTTCGAAGTGTGCAGTACTGTTATTAAAGCCTCATCTCTTCAGTACTCTCCGGTGCCTCGGCTGATTTCTGTCTGCCTCACTACTCCACAAAAGTGAAGGGAGTTAACCCCGAAGGAGGACAAACTTCGGCCCTGGAGGAAGCGTCTCCCCTCGCGTCTCCCGACCACGGTCAGGGGACTGACGGCGAGGAATGGTTAACAGTTGTAACATCACATGTCGTTAGCGTAGTCTGCCTGTGTCTTTTCTCTGCGAACAAACATTTTAGAGTTGGTTGTTATATACAGTCTGTATAAGTGTGGTTAATCTAATAAACATGTGTAAGGAGATGGCAGTTACTGTGAATGTACTGCAGGTGATTAGTAATAAACAGTCAGACAATGACTCTGACAATCTCATTCAGTCTTGCAGATCGAATGCACCTTCTGTGGAAAGTGGTACCACACAGTGTGTGTGGACTTTCCCTGTGCAGAAGGCGACTACAGATGTTGTGGGTGCTAAATAAACAGAAAAAACTGATCCCTGTTGTCTTTGCTTACTGATTGTTTTTAGTGTTGACAATCCACATTGCTGGCATTGCATCTGTCAACATGTTTGTGGGTAGATCTGGATGTATCAGGGGTTAGTGCAGCCACTCAGTCTCTACTCAATGCGATCATAGCAGCAGGTGCAGATGTGTGTCACAAGTTGATCTGGCTGTAGGCTGTGGCACTTGGCCAGAGGTGGCGCTGGTTGACTCGACTCCATGTTAGTGCACAAAGTAAACTGTTCGCTTTAGTTGTGAAGCAAAAACGCTGAAATCGGAGAAATAAACCGTGCGAGGGGAACGATAACGACGACAAGAGTCTCCCGATCGTTTACTCTTGCTGTCCTGTGAACAACATCGGCGTGGTGTTAATTGTTTGCTGTTTTCGCGATCGCGTCGCGCATGAGGATATTACCAGGTAAACTTGCCACATTTTTAAACATTTTGTTGTTCAACAGCATCAAGACTGACGGAGTGTGTTTGAGACAACCTCACAAGTGTCACAGATGACACATTTGGCGGTTTTTTGCTGGTTTGTCAGTAGCAGCTCCTGAAACGCAAGACTGCCACACATCTGTTCGACCAACGCCAGTTGATCTAAACGCCAGTAGATCTGGAACACCGGTCCATGGTCACTGATAGATTAGGTGGAATAACACGACCCTCAGCCGTGGTGAGAATATCCAGAATAAATCTAAACTAGTTTATATCATTGCACAAAACCAGATTTCAATAAATGATTAAATATGTTGACCGAAGTTTTCTGCAGTTAAATTTAAATATAGTTAACGAAAGCTCCTTTTTTGATTGACATATTTTGATTCATTTATTTAAAGTGTTTGTCGAACAGATTCCACTGTTGAGTTCATCGAGTGTCAGTTTTCCTCTCCAAGCACTGAGACAGAGCAGTAAAGATAAAGGTAGATCTCAGATATACAATACACATTTAACTAAAAGTTGTTACCAGACTGCTCCGAAGTGGATGACCTGTTAGGAGGCAGTAAGAGAGGAGGAAAGATCACAGAGGAGGTTCATGGCTGTGGTGAAGGAGGACATGCAGAGAGTTAGTGTGAAAGCGGAGCGTGCTAGAGATGGTGTGGTGCAGGCAGATGATCTCCTGTGTAGGCCACTAAAGGGGGCAACCTTTTAGGATGGCTGCCAAACGCACAAAGTTCTTTTGAAAAATAGTGTTTTCTGTTACTGTTCATCACATTAATGACCTTTTTATTGTGTTTCTTTTCTCCTCAAGACCCCCCACAACAACATGTCTGTGAGGAAGAGGAGGGTCTGGATGAGCAGCAGGTCTGTAACCAGGAGAGGAACTCCAGTCTGGACCAGGAGGACCCAGAGCCTCCACAGATTAAAGAGGAACAGGAGGAGCTCTGCAGCAGTCAGGAGGGAGAGCAGCTTGGACTGAAGCAGGAGGCTGAAGGCATTATTGTCTGGACTGATGAAGAGCGACTCACACTGCTGGAGACCATCTGGAAACCAGAGTTAAAGTTGGATAGAATAGGTATGTAAAATTATTATTGCTTTTATATTATTAAAATGAATATGACTCATGTAGGATCCTAATCACAGGTTACAGGTTTTTTTTTCCTTTTTAGAAGCACAGAAAGAATTAAAAGTCCAATCAGCATGAATGCATCTCTTTTCTCTTAACATGTAACATTAAACCTCCACTTGGTATAAGTCAAAGAAACTGACTTGAGTCTGGAACCTAACTAAGCTGTTAGCTTAATGAAGTTTTATTGCCTTAAAGGGTTGTTGGTTGTTTTCTAAATACAGTATTTCCTCGATTATCAGGAGGGTTGTGTTCTGGGACCCACCACATTAGGTACGAATCAATGAAATGGAAACCATATCTTTTCTAAAATTATTTTTTAGATGCTTTAAGCCATAATAACCCTCCCTACGCTTTTTCAAACCCTTTGTATAATCTTAAAACATCTGTATGTGTGTACAGTACCATATCCTATATGTTGGAGCTATTTGTTCTTTATTTTTTTCATTTTAAAATTTGTTTAAAGTTTGTTGTTAGTTGACTTATATTTTGGGGTTTATTCACAAGTTTTATTTGTAGGTTAATATTTGTTTTAATGTTTGGTGTGGTTTTGGTGTTTACCTTGTTAAGTCAGTCAGTAAGAGCTGTAGGGCCATTTGTTTGTATAAATATAGAGACTGGTATTGGACCAGCATGCACTGGCCTATGTTTTTTTTTGTTGTTTTTTTTTTTACCAGAGCAGGCGAAGCAGCAGCAGGAAGTAATAAAAAATGAATCTTGCTATTGCTTGCCAAACTGGACGAATAAGCCATAAAAACGCAACTTTCAAGTATGGATAGTGGACTGCTTTTGCCTGCGTACAAAATACAGGGAGTGCAGAATTATTAGGCAAGTTGTATTTTTGAGGAATAATTTTATTATTGAACAACAACATGTTCTCAATGAACCCAAAAAACTCATTAATATCAAAGCTGAATGTTTTTGGAAGTAGTTTTTAGTTGTTTTAGTTTTAGCTATTTTAGGGGGATATCTGTGTGTGCAGGTGACTATTACTGTGCATAATTATTAGGCAACTTAACAAAAAACAAATATATACCCATTTCAATTATTTATTTCTACCAGTGACACCAATATAACATCTCCACATTCACAAATATACATTTCTGACATTCAAAAACAAAACAAAAACAAATCAGCGACCAATATAGCCACCTTTCTTTGCAAGGACACTCAAAAGCCTGCCATCCATGGATTCTGTCAGTGTTTTGATCCGTTCACCATCAACATTGCGTGCAGCAGCAACCACAGCCTCCCAGACACTGTTCAGAGAGGTGTACTGTACTGTACTGTGTTGTAAATCTCACATTTGATGATGGACCACAGGTTCTCAATGGTGTTCAGATCAGGTGAACAAGGTGGCCATGTCATTAGTTTTTCTTCTTTTATACCCTTTCTTGCCAGCCACGCTGTGGAGTACTTGGACGCGTGTGATGGAGCATTGTCCTGCATGAAAATCATGTTTTTCTTGAAGGATGCAGACTTCTTCCTGTACCACTGCTTGAAGAAGGTGTCTTCCAGAAACTGGCAGTAGGACTGGGAGTTGAGCTTGACTCCATCCTCAACCCAAAAAGGCCCCACAAGCTCATCTTTGATGATACAAGCCCAAACCAGTACTCCACCTCCACCTTGCTGGCGTCTGAGTCGGACTGGAGCTCTCTGCCCTTTACCAATCCAGCCACGGGCCCATCCATCTGGCCCATCAAGACTCACTCTCATTTCATCAGTCCATAAAACCTTATAAAAACCAGTCTTGAGATATTTCTTGGCCCAGTCTTGACGTTTCAGCTTGTGTGCCTTGTTCAGTGGTGGTCGTCTTTCAGCCTTTCTTACCTTGGCCATGTCTCTGAGTATTGCACACCTTGTGCTTTTGGGCACTCCAGTGATGTTGCAGCTCTGAAATATGGCCAAACTGGTGGCAAGTGGCATCTTGGCAGCTGCACGCTTGACTTTTCTCAGTTCATGGGCAGTTATTTTGCGCCTTGGTTTTTCCACACGCTTCTTGCGACCCTGTTGACTATTTTGAATGAAACGCTTGATTGTTCGATGATCACGCTTCAGAAGCTTTGCAATTTTGAGACTGCTGCATCCCTCTGCAAGATATCTCACTATTTTTGACTTTTCTGAGCCTGTCAAGTCCTTCTTTTGACCCATTTTGCCAAAGGAAAGGACGTTGCCTAATAATTATGCACACCTGATATAGGGTGTTGATGTCATTAGACCACACCCCTTCTCATTACAGAGATGCACATCACCTAATATGCTTAATTGGTAGTAGGCTTTCGAGCCTATACAGCTTGGAGTAAGACAACATGCATGAAGAGGATGATGTGGACAAAATACTCATTTGCCTAATAATTCTGCACTCCCTGTATTATCTCAGTACAGCAGTAGTAGCTTGTGGATTTGTAATTGTGGGATGCTTGGTTTGTCAAACAAAAGGAATTGCCACTACACTATATTTTAAAATACTTTGCACATATTTTATACTGTAGACAATAGCCCAGCAACCAGACCCTGAACTTCAACAGATAACAAACTGATGAGCAGTCAGGCCGAAGCCTCCATTTCTACCTGTTCATGTTTATAAAGTAAAATCACTATGACGACCACTTTAAAGTCTCTTTCTGTTGGTTTTCATTTTTAATTTGTGTTTTCGGCTTTGTGTTCATACCTTAATACTAAGAGAAAGATCATATGTGTGTCCTTATTAGGATAGGGATTTGTGTTGGTGTGTGGCAAATTAGTAGAAAATGGATTTCAGGTCATTTTCACAGAGAAATGTGAAAGTAATGAGAATATTCAGAGTTTACAAAATATTTTCACCCGTTTTTCTATCATTTTTCTCCGTTTGTCTCTTCAGACCCCACACAGCAGCAGGTCTGTGACCAGGAGGACCCAGAGCCTCTACACATTAAAGAGGAACAGGAGGAGCTCTGCAGCAGTCAGGAGGGAGAGCAGCTTGGACTGAAGCAGGAGACTGAACAAAAACTAAGCAGTGAGCAGCTCCTTTCTCACAGCTCTCCTGAAGCAGAGAGCCAAGATCAAGTAGAAAGTCAGCATGTGGACTCAGGATCAACTAGAAACGTGGAGCTGAAGCAGAGAAGACATCACAGAAAGACAAGTCACGATCAGAGAGTAGACAGCACTCCTGTGTCAGACAGTCAGAGTAAAACTGAAACAAAGACAAATGTTTTAAAATGTGACAGCTGTGGAAAAACTTTCAACTCTGAATCCGATCTGACTACACATCGGAGAGTTCACACACGTAATAAATCATGTTGTTGTTGTTGGACCTGTAGGACAAAATTCAGTCAGTGCTTGAAAATTCACACAGGTAAGAAATCACATCCTTGTAGCACCTGTGGGAAGGAATTAGTTTCAAAGTCAGCACTAGAAGCTCACATAAGAACTCACACAGGTGAGAAGCCGTTTTCTTGTAGCACCTGTGGGAAAAGTTTCTGTCAGAAATCAAACATGGAAATTCATACAAGAACTCACACAGGTGAGAAGCCGTATTCTTGTAGTACCTGTAATAAAACATTCACTCAGAACTCAACACTGCGATCTCACGTAAGAACTCACACAGGTGAGAAACCGTATTCTTGCAGAACCTGTGGGAAAAGATTCAGTGAGAAATCAAACATGGAAATTCATACAAGAACTCACACAGGTGAGAAGCCGTATTCTTGTAGTACCTGTAATAAAACATTCACTCAGAACTCAACACTGCGATCTCACGTAAGAACTCACACAAGTGAGAAACCGTATTCTTGTAGTACCTGTAAAAAAACATTCACTCAGAACTCAACACTGCGATCTCACGTAAGAACTCACACAAGTGAGAAGCCGTTTCTTGCAGACCTGTGGGAAAAGATTCAGTGAGAAATCAAACATGGAAATTCATACAAGAACTCACACAGGTGAGAAGCCGTATTCTTGTAGTACCTGTAAAAAAACATTCACTCAGAACTCAACACTGCGATCTCACGTAAGAACTCACACAGGTGAGAAACCGTATTCTTGCAGAACCTGTGGGAAAAGATTCAGTGAGAAATCAAACATGGAAATTCATACAAGAACTCACACAAGTGAGAAACCGTATTCTTGTAGTACCTGTGGAAAGAAATTCAGTCAAAACACACACTTAAAGAAACACATAAGAATTCATACTGGTTGAAATATTCATGCTTACAAAGTGTGAGACAGCTGTGAGTGATTTCAATGCAGTGAAAGCAGAGGCAGTGGCAGCTTGTCAAGTGTTCTAATCTCCCTCCAGTCTATTGGTGACCTCACTTAACATTAAGATAAATCCTTCTGTTGTGATTCTGTGATTTATAAAATGTAATTTTAATGATTATATTCAGTGAATATATGTTTGTTGTGAACAAAAAGCTTTTATATGAAATAAAACTTTGAACAAAATCTTTTCATCTTTCTTCATTCCAGGATGTCACTCACTTCTGAAAATGTGAAACTAATCTTTGGCTACGTTCACACTGCAGGCAAAAGCGCATCAAATCCGACTTTTTTGACCCTATGTGACCCATATCCGATCATGGTATGACAGTGTGAACGGCACAAATCCAATATTTTCAAATCCGATCTGGGTCACTTTCGTATGTGGTGCTGAATCCGATACACATCTGATGTTTTAGAAAGCGACTGCTGTTTGTATGGTCACGTCGCATTAAAGGCGTCTTTTACGTCACTGACACAAGACAGACGCCAATTATCAGCGCCGGAGAAGACATCGCGAACGCTTCCTGGCCATCTCGTGTGGATGTTAGTGAAACAGTTGGTAAGACAGCGTTGGAGGAACGTGGAAATTTTATTTGTACTGTACAATCGGCAGATTTTGACAGAAATCTGCAACTATCCTTTGAAGCACCGCTCCTCTCTAAAACGGCAATAAGGATCATTATTAGGCCATATGTAAATAACACAATAACTTTATTACTCAAAGCAAAATTGGGAAACGTAAAGTCCGAAGTCTTTATATTAAGGGCCAACAGTCAAACAATACGGTTTGCTCTGGGTCTAAACAGAGCGCGTTGTGTGAGACGTCTTTTTTTGCGCATGCGGGCTGCTTTGAGGGTTCACACTAGAGCACATTTGCTGTTGCATTTTATTTGTAGTGTGAACAAGCAGGCAAAAAAATTGGAATTGAGCATTAAGACCTGCAGTGTGAACGTAGCCTAAGAGACGTGTTTGGTTTTGCCTCATAAATCATTGTGTGTGTGTGTGTGTGGAGAGAGTTTTTCCGGAGGGTTAAATTGGCTGTTTTGCTAAAAAGTGATTCCAATGTTTCCATTTGTTTTGTTTTTTGTAATGTATAATGTCTTTACTTAAATTGTCTAATAGACTTTAGTGAGCAGGATTTGCAAAGGGGTTATATACAAAGTGTAAAAGTGTCTTTATGACTTTGCATTATTGTACCAACATTATAACCAATCCACTCCTTTTTGGCCACTTGAAATATGTTTACAGCCAGCTCATGCTTAAAAAATACATTTTTAAAGTCAGTGAGGTTTTTTTGGCTGGATAAACAAATGGTATATAAAATTCACTTTGCAAATAACATAATTCAGTTTTTGACACCATCAGCTCTCCTTCACAGTTGAGTGACATCCAACTCTTGAATTGAATTGAATGAATGCTTTATTGGCCATATGCAGGTCGCCCCGCAGAGGAATAGGACACCCCCCCCCCCCCCCCCCCCCCCCCGACTTACACACACAACAAAGACATCACATGGGAATACAGTCGGAGATTGGCAGCATTACAGAAAAAAAACACTGAAAAAGTACACAACAATGGGAAAAGTACGAGAGGAAAAATAAAAAGAGACCTCTCCTCATGCTGGGCACCTATGGGAGGACAGCATGAGAACAGGAAACAAAAAAAACTCCTCTGCACAGAGAGCACATAAATGTCCACATCACAACATTGGAGCACGTGACAAGCCACAGGGGTTGGGTAGGGGGTGAGGAGTAATCCGAAGGAAACACAGCAGTCGTCCTGCACAGCGCAACCATTCCAGCGCCGCACACAGACCCGCCGTCTTCCCCCACAGGAAACAAGCATCGAAGGCGTTTGGAAAGAATAGAATAGAATAGAATTCAACTTTATTGTCATTGCACATGCACAGGTACAGGGCAACGAAATGCAGTTTGCATCCATCCAGAAGTGCTTTAGTGATATAGATATATTACAATATATATTGGCAATAATATAGATATGTGAGTATATTACAGAAATGGGTCTATTATGGTATGTTATAATGTACACGGTATGAAGTATGTTGTGAATATTCTATAACTATAAGTATGTACAGGCTGTAGTGAGTACAAGCTATGTACAGGCTATGAACAGGATATAAATATGAAAAACTATACAGAATATGAAATAAATAACTTTACAGAATCTGAGATATACAGCTATACAGAAATGGGAACTATGCAAGTTGTAAACAGTTGTAGGATTAAAAATTATCGAATGTACAGAATGATTATTTACACAGAGCTATACAGTAGTGCAGTTAAGATAAGTGAGGGTGTAGATAGTTTCTACAGAGGCTATATAAAGTGCTGGTGGTTGTGAGTGGTGTTCAGTCCATGTTATTATTGTGTGTTTGAGGGTACAGTTATCCATTGTGGGTGTGTGTATGTTCAGTCCATGAGTTTAACGTGGGTCAGATGTCAGGAGGCAGAGTTCAGGAGTCTGACAGCTGTGGGGAAGAAGCTGTTCCGGTACCTGGTGGTCTTAGTCCGGAGGCTCCTGTAGCGCCTCCCAGAGGGCAGGAGGGTGAAGAGTCCATGTGACGGGTGACTGGGGTCTTTGATGATTTTCCCAGCCCTTTTCAGACACCGCTTCCTGTAGCCGCGTCATATAATGTGCGGAGGGCGGTGAAAGAGGCGAAGCAGCGCTACGGGAGGAAACTAGAGTCACAACTCCAACAGAGTGACTCTAGGAGCCTGTGGCGGGGACTAAGGACAATAACGGACTATAAAGCACCAACAACCGGTATGACGAACGCGGCCGTGACTCTGGCAGACGAGCTGAACACTTTCTATGCTCGCTTCGAGGCTGCAGCTAAGGTCTCCAACAATGCTAGTGTTAGCGGCGCTAACGGCTGCAGACAGGAAGATACTGCCAGCACCGGAAACGTGCTCGTCATCTCCGAGCATGAAGTAAGGAGAGCCTTCAAGAGAGTGAACACCAGGAAAGCAGCAGGACCAGACGGCATCCCAGGTCGTATCCTAAGAGACTGCGCATACCAGCTAGCTCCTGTGTTCACTGAGATATTCAACATCTCTTTATCTCAGTCGGTGATCCCCACATGCTTCAAAGAGTCCATCATTGTTCCTGTCCCAAAGAAACCCCACCCTGCTTCTCTCAATGACTATCGCCCTGTAGCCCTCACCTCAGTAGTGATGAAGTGCTTTGAACGCCTGGTCAGAGACTTCATCATTTCTTCACTACTGGACCCACTACAGTTCGCTTACCGTCCAAATCGTTCCACAGACGATGCCATCTCTCATCTCCTCCACACATCACTCACTCACTTGGACACTAGAAGGGGGAATTATGTTAAAATGCTCTTCATAGACTACAGCTCTGCATTTAACACCATAATTCCCTTCACACTCACCACCAAGCTGGAGCATCTGGGACTCAGCTCATCTATGTGTCAGTGGATCTCCAACTTCCTAACTGGCAGACCACAGGCAGTAAGGATGGGCGGACATGTCTCAGCCTCCACCACTCTCAGCACTGGAGCCCCCCAGGGGTGTGTTCTGAGCCCCCTGCTGTACTCTTTGTACACATAGGACTGTGTGGCCACTACCAGCTCCACCACCATCATCAAGTTTGCTGACGACACCGTCGTGGTGGGCCTGATCTCTGATAACAACGAGACGGCCTACGTGAAGGAGATTAGGAATCTGGAGAACTGGTGCCAGAGGAACAACCTCCTTCTAAACGTCAGTAAGACAAAGGAGCTGATCGTGGACTTCAGCACTAAGCAGGAGAGGAACTACCAGACCCCCGTCATCAACGAGTGCCCAGTGGAGAGAGTGGACAGCTTCAAATACCTCGGAGTTCACATCACGCAGGACCTGTCATGGTCCTGTCACATCAACACCGTAGTGAAAAAGGCCCGACAGCGTCTCTACCACCTCAGACGCTTGAGAGACTTCCAACTGCCCTCCAAGGTGCTCAGGAACTTTTACTCGTGCACCATAGAGAGCATCCTGGCGGGAAACATCTTAACCTGGTTTGGGAACAGCACCATGCAGGACAGACGAGCTCTACAGAGGGTTGTGCGGTCAGCTGAGCGCACCATCCGCTCCGAGCTCCCTGACCTGCACTCAATCTACAGCAGGCGGTGCTGGACCAAGGCCAGGAAGATCGTGAAGGACCTCAGCCATCCCAACAACAGACTGTTCTCTCTGCTGAGGTCAGGAAAGCGATTCCGCTCCCTGAAGACCAACACAGAGAGACTGAGGAGGAGCTTCTTCCCGCAGGCGATACGGTCTCTCAATCACACCACCACACAGTACTGACCCACACATATGGTTCTTACACACACACTGGACTTTCTGGACTTTGGTTTTGCACAACACTGGTCACTATATTCTTCATTTCCGGTTAATACTTGTACAGCTGCTGTTATTGTGTATATATTTATTTATATTTAGATTTCTTCATACATTCTTATATAGTTCTATATTGTGTATTTTGTTGTACAGTTATTTTATTTTCAACTTTAATTTATATATTTATCTTTATCTTATTCTTCCCAGTTAAATTTACCCTTCATTCTAATTTGTGTTGTACAGTTATTTCATTTTTAACCTTAATTTATATTTTATTCCTTCCTAGTTAAATTTACCCTTTTTAATTTTTCATATTTATTTCCTATCTTATTCATAGCCTTTTCCTTTTTTGTTTTCTTTAGGTCACGAGCAGTTG